GGAAACCCTCCCTAACTAAACTGTCAACAGCTCCACCCCCCTTTTGTTTGGGTGGAGCCCCTCCGGTCTGTATAGATGTCTCTGGGACTCCTCTCCTGCACCATTTGTAAACACTTCTCCCTCCCTAATACTTTGTTATATGAGGGAAACAGAGAAAAAAACATTCCTCATCTGCTCCGCCTTCCCCTTCTGCACCGAATTCCCACTCTCACCAAATTCCTTCACGGAATTCTGACTCCGCTTCAACTGGCTCGGTTCCCTCCTCACGCTGCAGGGCTCTCTGCTCCCGTTGGGCTCTCATCAGTCGTGACTGTTGCGCGGGACCTGGTTGCCATCGAAAATGGCCGCCACTCTGTCACTCTCAGTCACTCCACTTGACAGTCGCTCGGGTCTCCATCCCCTTCTCCGCCCTTTCTCTCTCCTCCCGGGCTACGTGACTCCGCGGATGCTCATTGGCTGTTGGCAGAGGATTGACATGCAAGGGGGCGGGGGAGACGGTGATTGACGTGTAAAGGGGCGGGGGAGACGGTGATTGACGTGTAAAGGGGCGGGGGAGGCGGTGATTGACGTGTAATGGGGCGGGGGAGGCGGTGATTGACGTGTGAAGGGGCGGGGGAGACGGTGATTGACATGCAAGGGGGCGGGGGAGACGGTGATTGACGTGTAAAGGGGGCGGGGGAGGCGGTGATTGACGTGTAATGGGGCGGGGGAGGCGGTGATTGACATGCAAGGGGGCGGGGGAGACGGTGATTGACGTGTAAAGGGGGCGGGGAGGCGGTGATTGACGTGTAATGGGGCGGGGGAGGCGGTGATTGACGTGTGAAGGGCGGGGAGGCGGTGATTGACATGCAAGGGGGCGGGGAGGCGGTGATTGACGTGTGAAGGGGCGGGGGAGACGGTGATTGACGTGTAAAGGGGCGGGGGAGACGGTGATTGACGTGTAAAGGGGGCGGGGGAGGCGGTGATTGACGTGTAATGGGGCGGGGGAGGCGGTGATTGACGTGTGAAGGGGCGGGGGAGGCGGTGATTGACATGCAAGGGGGCGGGGAGGCGGTGATTGACGTGTGAAGGGGCGGGGCGGCGGTGATTGACGTGTGAAGGGACGGGGAGGCGGTGATTGACGTGTGAAGGGACGGGGGAGGCGGGATTGACGTGTGAAGGGGCGGGGGAGGCGGTGATTGACTTGAAAGGGGGCGGGGGAGGCGGTGATTGACGTGTGAAGGGGCGGAGGCGGCGGTGATTGACGTGTGAAGGGGGCGGAGGCGGCGGTGATTGACGTGTAAAGGGGCGGGGGCGGCGGTGATTGACGTACGGGTGGGCGGAGGCGAGGCGGCGAACGACGTATGGGAAGCCGAGGAGGCGGTGATTGACGTGTGAAGGGGGGGCGGGGCAGGCGCTGATTGACAGGAGCGGGAAAAGGGCGGGAAGGAGCCGTTCGGAGCGGACGGTTGGGTCGAAGGCCGCGTTCGAGGAAGAAGTGAAGGGGGAAAGGTACAACGGGGTTGTAAATGGCGCCCGAGCTCGGGGAGACAGTACAGAGGGGGAGAGGAATGGGAGAGGGGGAGGTGGGGAGAGAACGAGGAGCCCAATAAAGGCCGCGGGCGCCTCGGGTCGTCGAGTTGTCGCCTGAGGGACAGAAGGTTCTTTAATGGCTGCCACCGCCTCACACTCATTCCCCTCACACTCACTCACTCACTCACTCACACACACACTCACTCACTCACACACTCACACACTCATTCCCCTCACACTCACTCACTCACTCACACACTCACACACACACTCATTCCCCTCACACTCACTCACTCACTCACTCACACACTCACACACACACTCATTCCCTCACACTCACTCACTCACTCACACACTCACACACTCACACTCATTTCCCTCACACTCACTCACTCACTCACACACTCACTCATTCCCCTCACACTCACTCACTCACTCACACACTCACACACACACTCATTCCCCTCACACTCACTCACTCACTCACTCACACACTCACACACACACTCATTCCCCTCACACTCACTCACTCACTCACACACTCACACACACACTCATTCCCCTCACACTCACTCACTCACTCACACACTCACACACTCATTCCCCTCACACTCACTCACTCACACACACACACACACTCACACACTCACACTCATTCCCCTCACACTCACTCACACACTCACACTCATTCCCCTCACACTCACACACACACTCACACTCATTCCCCTCACACTCACTCACTCACGCACACACTCACACTCATTCCCCTCACACTCACTCACACACACACTCATTCCCCTCACACACACTCACTCACACACACACACACACTCACACACTCACACTCAAACCATCACACTCACTCACAAACTCACACTCACCCCCTCACACTCACACACACACTCACACTCATTCCCCTCACACTCACTCACTCACTCACACACTCACACTCATTCCCCTCACACTCACTCACACACACACTCATTCCCCTCACACTCACTCACTCACACACTCACACTCATTCCCCTCACACTCACTCACTCACACATTCACTCACACACACACTCATTCCCCTCACACTCACTCACTCACACACTCACACACACACACACTCATTCCCCTCACACTCACTCACTCACTCACTCACACACTCACACACACACTCATTCCCCTCACACTCACTCACTCACACACTCACACTCATTCCCCTCACACTCACTCACACACACACTCACACTCATTCCCCCTCACACACACTCACACTCCCCCCTCACACTCACACTCCCCCCTCACACACACTCACACTCCCCCCTCACACACACTCACACTCCCCCCTCACACACACACACTCAAACACACTCACACTCCCCCCTCACACCCTCACACACACCCCCTCACTCACACACTCACACTCCCCCCTCACACCCGCACACACACCCCCTCACTCACACACTCACACTCCCCTCTCACACCCTCACACACCCTCACCCTCACACCCCCCCCCCCCTCACCCCCCACCCCAGGCCCCCTCACACCTCACCCCCCACCCAGGCCCCCTCACACCCTCACCCCCCCACCCCAGGCCCCCTCACACCCCCCCCCCTCACCCCCCACCCCAGGCCCCCTCACACCCTCACCCCCCACCCCAAGCCCCTCACACCCTCACCCCCCCACCCCAGGCCCCCTCACACCCTCACCCCCCACCCCAGGCCCCCTCACACCCTCACCCCCCACCCCAGGCCCCCTCACACCCTCACCCCCCCACCCCAAGCCCCCTCACACCCTCACCCCCACCCCAAGCCCCCTCACACCCTCACCCCCCACCCCAAGCCCCCTCACACCTCACCCCCCCACCCCAAGCCCCCTCACACCCTCACCCCCCACCCCAAGCCCCTCACACCCTCACCCCCCACCCCAAGCCCCCTCACACCCTCACCCACCCACCCCAAGCCCCTCACACCCTCACCCCCCCACCCCAAGCCCCCTCACACCCTCACCCCCCACCCCAAGCCCCTCACACCCTCACCTCCCCGCTCTGCGCCTTTTCAATCACAACAACAGCAAATTGCATTTATGTAGTGCCAAAAGCACTACCATAGAGACAGAGGAACATTCACCCCCTCGCGCCTGTTCCGCCATTCTACAAGATCACGGCTGATCTGTACCTCAGCTCCAGTTACCCACCTTTGCCCCGGATCCCGTGATACCCTGACCCAACAAATATCTCTCCTCTCCAGTCTGGGCAACGTGAATGTGATCAAAGAGGAAAGTCTTGAGGCAAGCCTTGAAGGAGGCAAGGGGTATAATGAATACATTCGTTCACATTATAATAATAGTCCTTGCATTTGACGTAGCGCCTCATCGCGTCGTTTGGACGTTTCAAAGCGCTTCGCAGGATACGCTGTACAGCGACTGCATTTTGTGGTGAGCCAATTGCGCACAGCAGCGTCCCACAAACGGTCGTGGAGGGAGTGATCAATTTTATTTGGGGGATTGCTGGCCAGGACACCGGGGGAGAGAGAGAAACTCCCTTCTCTCGTGGAATAGCGCCACGGGATCTTTAACGTCCACCTGAACAGGTGTGATCCAAAATGGAGGCCCGCTCCCACCCCCGCACCCTCCCACGAGAAGACTCTGTCTTCTCTTTTCTCTCCCTCCCTCTCATTTTTCTCTCTCTCACTCTTCTTCCTCTCTCTTCACTCTTCTTTGTACCCTGCGTGAAGAACACTCTATAAATACATGTTGTTGTTATTGTGTCTCTCTCTTTTCTCTTCCTATATCTTCTCTTCTTTCTGCCTCCCCCGCCCTCTCTCTTTCTCTCTCATTCCCAACTTCCTTACTCCACACAGAGCCTAATAATAATCCCTCCAAACCCAAAAACAATAATTAAATTGGTCATTTTCAATCCACGACTGTTTGTGGGCCATTGCTGTGCGCAATCGGCCGCCGCGTTCGCCCACAAATATACAGTCAATTCACTTTACAGTGTGTTCTGTGAAGCGCTTTGGGACGTCCTCCCGACGTGAAAAGCGCTATATCAAATGCAAGGATTATTATTATTATTATTATTCCTCTCTTTACTCTCCTCCCGCAGCCTGGGATGAATCATGGTTCTTGTGTTTAAATATTTCATTTGCTCTGCATCTTCATCTCTCGCTCACTGCAGAGTTCCCTCGCTCCCAGTGGAGGGACGTCGGGTGAACCAGGACCTTTGGATGGCATTGAACGACGCAGCAGGGCCTTAGAGCGAGAGAACGAGCAACACAGGTAAAATTCATTAGAGGGCATTAGACTGTTGTCTGACTGAGGAGTGGACAGAACAACAACAACAACAAATGACATTTACACAGCGCCTTTCACGTCAGGAGGACGTCCCAAGGCGCTGGACAGTCAGGGATCCGCACCCGGGCTGGTGGTTGGGATCAGGGTGGGAGTAGGAGGGTGATCGAAGGCGCAGTCGAAGAGGAGGGTCTTGAAGGAGGCAAGGGAGTGGGCGAGGCAGAGGGACTGTGGGATGGATTTCCAGAGGGTAGCGGTTTTCTCAACCCTCTCCTCGTGTCAACCGACCACACTGAGAACACGATCTGGCTTTATTTTCTTGCGAGTCTCACCTGTCAGGGCCTCTGCAACTCTTCTTGCGAAATGATTCTTTCGTTTCCGTGCCTTCCCTCTCTGCCTTCTTTTAAATGGAGAGAGAGGAACAGACAGAGGCGGGCAGTTAAATCAGAGACAGACGGTTGGGGGGGTGGGGGAGGGGCGGCCAGAGGGAGAGAAACAGGCAGACAGATGGGGAGAGTGACAGAAACAGGCAGACAGGTAAATGGGGGAGGATGGGTGCCTGGGAGGAGAGAGAAAGGGAGGAACAGACTGAAACAAACTGACAGATGGGAGGGAGTGACAGAAAGAGACAGACGGCTGAGTGAGTGGGAGACACGGTTGGAGAGGGAGAGAAAGGATGCTTGTCTCTGTATCTCGAGAGGGAGGATGCAAAGCATGATTAGTCCAATGTGAGCGGCATTCAGGGATTCACAGAGGGAGGGGGTGGACACAGGAACAGGAACTTGAAAGGCACATCCCGAGAGACACAAGCCGGGCACGGTGTTCCAGAACAACCGGCAGCAGCAGCCAGGTGGACAGTGCAGAGAGGCCTGTGTGGCTAACGGTCCTGGAATTATCAGACAATTCACCAAGGGCGCAGGAGGCTGGCAGTACGTCTAAAAATAACCCCACTCCGAGCTCGTGTTACGCTGAGGGCAGGAGTGACTGGGTTGATTCTGAGTAAGTCAGTAAGTCGCCACCTTATCATGTTCAATCTTCATTCAAGGCAGCTGCTCAGGACCCCGAGCCGACTCTCCCACGCCTCCCAGAGTAACCTCGCTCGCTCTCCCTTCCTTGCTTTGCAGGCTCAGGCCCGCCTGCTCCAACCCCCACTCTCAGTCTCCTCTCCGGAGCCCCCCTCTCTGCAAGCCCCCCCCCCCCCACCTCCCTCTGCTGCAGCGCTGTGAGACACTGCCGCGGAGCAAAGGGTGCTGTATAAATGCAAGCTGCCATTGCTTTCACAAATATTCTTAAGAAAACTACCTCTTGTTAGTTCAGTGCTCCCTGATGCTACCCACAAAAAGGGCGCTGTATAAAATGCAAGTTGTTGTTGTTCAGTCGCCACTCTCCTACCATGCTCTTTAATCCACATTGTCCCTTTAACTCGACAACAACCACTCCAAAATGACATTTACACAGCGCCTTTCACGTCGGGAGGACGTCCCAAGGCACTGGACAATTAGTGCTTTGGACCCGAGCTGGGCATCGGGGTGTGGGAGGGCGGGGGGAGGGGGAAACGGGGGTGACCGAAGGCACGGTCGAAGAGAAGAGTGTCTGAAGAACATAGGAAATGCTAGATGAAAAAAACCAAGGTCCATCTAGTTCGCCTTCCACCTTCCTGGCGGTCACATGCACGTATGTCCCACACATGAACTGCCTATGTTCTCTATCCCACAAGGTTATTTCCTAAAAGAAAACTGTGTTTGAAAGGATCAACACTTCCTGCTTCAACCACCTCCCTAGGGAGCTTGTTCCACGGATTAACTATTCACTTTTCCTGCGTGAACATGTCCAATTTACTTAGTTGCTCCTCGTAGTCCAGTCTTTCCATTCCCTCAATCACTTGATTGCCCCCCTCCATGTCGTCTCGGGGTGGCTCAGAGTGGCTGAAGGCCCGCCTGCCAGCCAGTGGTGGAGCGGGCGAGGCGGGGGACGGGGGCCATGGAGGTGGAACTGGGAGGTAAAGAGAGGGGTAGGGATGGAGTCTAGGGAGCAGGTGGTCGGTTTCACGTGGGTTACGGTGGTGGTGAGAGAGGGGGAGACAGGTTCGAAGTTGGAAGTCCAGCATCTCCTCGCAGTTGGCGTTGGAGGAGAGGATGGGCAAGGCATGAGGGGGTGAGCAGAGGAGCTGGTTGGTGATGAAGAAGAGGAGCCCGGGGTTGTCCTTGGCCTCCAAGATTGTCTTGGAGTAGATCTCCAGTTGTCCCTTCACCTTCAAAGCCCTCCACAGCCTTGCTCCTCCCTACCTCTGCGACCTCCTAACCCCGTACCAACCTGTCCGCTCCCTCCGCTCAGCGGGCTTTGGACTGCTTCACGTCCCCTGCCGTGCCCGCCCCACCATTGGCAGGCGGGTCCTCAGCCTCTCTGCCGCCACCCTCTGGAATGCCATCCCACAGTCCCTTCGCCTCGCTCCCTCCCTTGCCTCCTTCAAGACCCGTCTCAAGACCTTCCTCTTCAACCGCGCCTTCGGTCACCCTCCTACCCCTCCTGATCCCAACCACCAGCTCAGGGCCAGATCCCTGACTGTCCAGCCCCTTGGCACGTCCTCCTGATGTGAAAGGCGCGATGTAAATGTGATGTGTTGTTATTTGTTGTTGTTGTTGGGTGTCTCCTGTGTCTTTTGTTAACCAGAATCCTGCCAGTCGCTATTTTGGGGAAAGGATGACTTCTGGAAACCCCTTGAGGGGTCTTACAGTAACTCAGAGAGTGGCGCTCGCTATCGGGGTCTCAGCAAGTGCTGTCGCAATCTATGTACTGTACAAGAAGTACTGGGAGAGCCGAGGTAAGCAGACATTTCCCCCAGAGAGCAGAACCCCAATCCTCCCCATCTACGATAAAATAATAATCCTTACGTGATTTATCACTCACGGTTGGGTGGGTTGGGGGGGGGTGGGGGGAGTGGGGAGGGAGAAGGTTGTTGCTCATTGATAATTGTGTCGAGCCCCTTCGTAATTCTCAATACTTCGATCAGATCGTTCCTCAGATGCAGTTGTTGAACGTCCCCACCGTTAGGTTTAATGAAATTCAAAGACCAACACAAATTCTTCAATCAGTTGATACTTTTATTGATGCAAATTAGAAAAGAAATGCACCTTAAAGTTAAACCTTTCAACAGTGGGTTAGTAAAGTTCACTGCAATGAGTCGATCGGATCAATACAGTGGCTTTGATGGAGGAATCGACTTGTTAACGTGTATCGATCCACGTTGATTGCACAGCCATATTTCCTCGAGACTGATTGCGATTAAGCTGCTTCATTCCGCTCCGACATAACCACAAAAATCTCTGATTTTTTTTACCCCTTTTTGGTCGCACACGCCAGTCTGTTCAGCGTGTTTTTAGAAACACCAGCCGCAAACCAAGGACAAACTTTTATCAAGGTTCCAACAGCTTGTTTCAAAACAAGTCTTTGTCCCACAATGATTTCGAAGAGAATTTTCTTCCGTAAACATGCTTCCACTTGTCCTTGGCTTTCAAGCATTTGTGTCTCTGGTCAGCTTTTCCTGAAGTAAACAGGTCCGTAAGTCTCCAGTCTTCTTCAGTCAATCAATCCTTTGGTCAACTCAAGCAACCCAGAATCCTGGGACTGCTTACACCAGGCCTCAGTCCCCGGTGGATGGAGCCTGGATCTGCCACACCCGGATAACGCTGTCTCTGCTTTGTGCCCCAGATGAGGAGTGCCTGCTCGTTGGGGAGGATCCAATCTCGATGGACATGCGAGTCCCTCGCGAGGTCATCAAGGCCATTATCGGACGCCAGGGCTCCACCATCAAACAGGTCAGTCAGGCTCAGCACCCGGCTCGTAAACCTTGTGACTCATCCGGGCCTCAAGATCCTTAACAGGCTGGGAGTGTGGACCACAGTGTAGAGGGAGCGTTACTGTGTCTCTAACCCTGACCTGGGAGTGTGGACCACAGTGTAGAGGAGCGTTACTGTGTCTCTAACCCTGACCTGGGAGTGTGGACCACAGTGTAGAGGAGCTTTACTGTGTCTCTAACCCTGACCTGGGAGTGTGGACGCACAGTGTAGAGGAGCTTTACTGTGTCTCTAACCCTGACCTGGGAGTGTGGACCACAGTGTAGAGGGAGCGTTACTGTGTCTCTAACCCTGACCTGGGAGTGTGGACCACAGTGTAGAGGGAGCGTTACTGTGTCTGTAACCCTGACCTGGGAGTGTGGACACACAGTGTAGAGGGAGCGTTACTGTGTCTCTAACCCTGACCTGGGAGTGTGGACACACAGTGTAGAGAGAGCTTTACCGTGTCTCTAACCCTGACCTGGGAGTGGACGCACAGTGTAGAGAGAGCTTTACCGTGTCTCTAACCCACGCTATCACTGATCCAGGCAGCGTGTTCAACATTCTCACCAGCTTCACACGCACGTACACCCAGGCAAGGGTGCGTGCATACACCCCCACCGGTAACCCTGTGAATAGATACGTCATCTCCCCCACCAGCACAAACGCGCACATACACACACACACACACACACACACACACATACAAACAGCCTGTCGCTGATCTTGTCTGTCGCTGTGTTGGTGCAGCTCAGACGGGATACGGGGGCTCGGATCGAGGTGGACGACGTCGAAGATGTGGAGGATGCGATGAGGCCTGAGCGGATCGTGACCATCACCGGCACTCCGGTGCAGGTGTGCCGGGCCGGGGTGGCCATTCACCAGCTGCTGGCCACCAAAGTCCAGGTCACCGAGGAGCTGTTCGTCCCCCAGGCAGCCGTGGGCCGTATCATAGGTACGGCAACGACAACAACTCGCATTTACACAGCGCCCCTCGCGCGGGACAGCGTACCAGAGCGCTTGACAGTGGCGGGGGGGAGGTGACCGTAGGCACAGTCGAATAGGAAGGTCTTCAGGCGCGACCTGAAGATGGACGGGACGTGGGTCGAGGCGGAGGGAGTGAATGACCGTGCTTCAGGGCGGCGTGGCTGAAAGCACGGCCGCCCATGGTGGAATGGAGGGCACGAGGGACGGGCAGAAGGCCAGAGCCAGTTGAGCGGAAGGCAGCGGGTGGTGGGTTGGGCGGGTAAGTAGGTCGGAGAGGTAGGGAGTCTTGTTAACGTGCATCGATCTGTGTTAATTGTAGTAATATCCCTCTTTCCTCGAGATTGATTGCAATTAGCTGCTCCATTCCCTCTCCCACCGGCTCAGCGTCGCGCTCCATCACTATCGAGCACTCCGGGGCGCGAGGGGCGCCGGGCAAACGCAACAGCTGTTGATCGCCATCTCCCGGCAGGCCGCGGCGGGGAGAATATCCGCACTATCAGCCGCAACTCGGGAGCCAAGATCCTGTGCGAGAGAGAACGGGCGGAGCCCAACCTGGACGCCAGGAGACTGATCAAAATCACGGGCACCCAGGAAGAGGTCGCCACAGCAAAGGTGCGAGTCTCTCAGCGCGCCGAAGGCAATGCATTCAGAAAGACAGAAACGGGACGAGGCCATTCAGCCCCTCGAGCCTGTTCCGCCATTTTATAAGATCATGGCGGATCTGTACCTCAAGTCCAGTTACCCGCCCTTGCGTGGAGCCCTGTGGCTCCAGCGGTTAAGAGCGCTCGCCTGGCAAGCGAGAGGACCCGGGTGAAATCCTGGGCAAGTTTCCTTACGCCACGCACACACGCACACGCACACACGCACACGCACACGCAGTAAGTAGGAACTCGGTCGTTAGCTGATTGACTGATTGATCGCTTTTCCGGGCAAAATAATCCCTCCAAAAAAAATACCGTCACTCAATCCACGACTGTTTGTGGGCGCAATCGGCTGCCGGGTTTTGCCCACAAATATACAGTCACTACACACAACAGTGTATCATGAGATGTCCAGAAGACGTGAAAAGCGCTATATCAAATGCAAGGATTATTATTATTATTATTATTATTATTATTATTACCTGACTCACCCTTCCCTGGCTCTGTTTCCCAGGCCCTGATTCTGGACACGGTGAAGGAGGAGGAGCAGTTTCGGCTGAAGCTGGCCAGCTCAGCGGCCACCCGCCGCCATCGCAAGCACCCGGTCTGCAAAAGGCTCTCGCCTGACGGCAACAGCGAGGGGCCAGAGTGCCTGAGCGGGCACGGGGCACTGCCCGTCAACACCGATGCCAACCCGGATCACGCCTGCACCAGTGACTCCAGCCAGGTGGCAAAATTCGAGAGTAAGGAACCATCGTCTCTCCGTCTGTCTTCCCTCGGTGCCTCTGTCTGTCGCACGTGCGTGCGTGCACACGAACACACCTCTCTCTCGCTCGCTCTCTCTCTCTCTCTCTCTCTCTCTCTGCCCCGAGCGCTTGCACAACCACAAGCACACAGACAGAGTTATATGAGGTGAATAATAGGAATAATAATCCTTCCGTTTGGTTCAGCGCCTGATCGCGTCTTCGCGTTATCTCGAAAGCGCTTCGCAGAATATACTGTGAAGCGCAGTTACTGTACTTTGGGGACGAAACGCGGCAGCCAATTCCGCAAAGCCGTGTCCCACAAACAGCCGCGGATTGAGTGACCAAATTATTATTATTTTAGAAGGGATTATTACCCCCGGAAAAGTGATCCGCCAATCGACTAACAAGCGGGTTCCTACTTACGTGTGCGTGTGTGTGTGTGCGTGTGTGTGTGTGTTTGTGTGCGTGTGGAGAGTGTGTCCTCTCGCTTGCCAGGCGAGCGCTCTCGCCACTGAGCTACAGGGACTCCTACAATGCGATTTCTGCTCTCGTTTCCACAGTCCCGAGCCCGGACTTTGGCTTCTTGGTTGACGAGTATCTGGAGGTTTACGTGTCAGCTTCTGAGAACCCGAACCGCTTCTGGATTCAGATCCTGGGCACCAGGTGTTTGCAGCTGGACAACCTGACGGACGAGATGATGCGTTATTACAGTGGCTGCAAACATGTGAGTGGAGGGGAGAAGCAGGGAGGTTACAGCACAGATACGTCGCTCCGAGCTTCCCACTGGAGCTCTCGACTCTAACCCCATTCCCTGCTCTCTCTCTCTCTCTCTCTCTCTCTCCCCATCACCCGTGCGCGGTGCTGGCCTGGTGTAACCCTGTGTGTGTACCCGCTGGGCGCAGGAGGAGCGGGTGTCTGCCAGGGTGGGCGATATCGTGGCTGCTCCCTTTCAGGACGACGGCTGCTGGTATCGTGCCCGCGTCCTCGACTTCCTGCCAAACGGCAGCGCCGACCTCTACTACGTGGACTACGGAGACAACGGGGAGGTGCCAGTCAACAGGCTGCAGGCCCTGAGGTCAGTATCTCAGTGGGTAGGGGCAGGGGTGAGGGTGAGGAGTGTTCCCTGGAGCAGAGGAGAATCACAGCCCTTTTCTTGTCCTCCCCCCCCCCCCCCCCCACCACCGTAACAACAACTTGTGTTTACACAGCGCCCCTCACCGACAATCGCCCAGATATCAGTCACGGCTGCAAAGCACGCAGTTTGGCGCTGTATCCAACGTGAGGTTTATTATACCTTATCGGGGGCTGCCAGTTGGAATACCCTGACTCGCGTGATAATATAATAATAATAATCCGTGCGTTCGACACAGCGCCCTTATCCCGTCTTCGAGACGTCTCAAGGCGCTCCACGGGACACACGCAGCCGATTGCGCCCGGCGACGTCCCACCAAGTCGCGGATTGAGTGATAATGATATACGGTCAATTCACGTTACCGTATGCTCCGTGAAGCGCTTTGAGGGGTCTCGACGACGTGAGAAGGCGCTGCATCAAATGCAAGGATTATTATTATTATTATTATTATTATTATTATTATTATAATGACAAGCTACATCAGGGTGGAGTTATCAGGGGCTTGTTGCATTTTATTCCCCTCCTGTTTTTCAGGAGCGATTTCCTGAGCCTCCCGTTTCAGGCCATCGAGTGTAGCCTCGACCGAGTGCAACCCATTGGTGAGTGTGACACTGAGTGTGAGTAGGTGTAAGCGCGCGGGAAGGGGGTGTTGGTGTGATGGAGGGGGGGGGGGCTGGTATGTGACAGAAGGTGGGAAGGGAGGGGGTGTTGTGTGTGTGTGTGTGTGTGTGTGTGTGTACTGACACGTGCTGTGTACGGAGAGGCCTGAGGGAGCGTGCGTATGTGGCCACGTGGCGAGAGGAGGGAAGGGGCGTAGTGAGTGCCTTGGGACGTCCTTCCGGCGTGAAAGGCACCATACAACGGCATTTGTGTTGTTTTATTCGTGTGCGTGTGTGGTGTGTGTGTGTGTGTGTGCGCGTGCGTACCTGACGAGTGTGTTGTGTGTATGTGATGAGCGGTGTGTGTGTGTGTGTGTGTGTGTGTGTGTGTGTGTGTGTGTGTGCGCGCGCGCAGAGGTGCTGTGTACAGGGAAGCCTGAGGGTGCGTGTTAACAGCTCCCCGGGGGCCTGCTTACAGGACGCCGATGGACAGAGGAGGCGCTGAACGAATTTGATCGCCTGACGCATTGCGCTCACTGGAAGATCCTTCTGGCAAAGATCTGCAGCTACGAGGAGAGCGGCGGAATCACCCGGCCACACATTCAGCTGTTTGACAAGAGCAGCGAGAAGGTGGGAGAGCACGGCACCCTGTGTGCCCGCGCGCGCGCGTGTGTCTGTGTGTGCGTGTGCGCGCGCGCGTGTCTTTCCCACTCTCTCTCTCGACACGCTCGCTCTGTGCGTGTGTGTGTCTTTCCCACACGGAGTGCGCTGTCTCCTGACACGCTCGCAGACACACACGCACACACACACACACACACACACATACACAGTGACACAAACACACAGTAACACACACACATGGTGACACACACAAAGCACTCACTCCCTTGTCTTGTCTTGCAGCAGACTGTGGACATTGCCGAGGAGTTAATCTGCCTGGGACATGCCATGCGCTGTGCCCGCATTGGCTCCCTCCTGAACCCAGACACCCTGAACCCCACCACAACCCTGATGGTAACTCCTGATCCAGGGCCTCTGATGGGGGGGGTGGGTGGGCGGCGGTCGGAAGAAGGGGGTGGCAGGGAAGTTTGGGGTGAGGAGAGAATGTGAGAGGTGGCTGGGTGGTGGGGGGGGGGGGGTGTTCACAGGGAGAGAGTGATTCATGTATGTGGGGTGTGTGATCAGTGCAAACCGGGGTTAAAACTTGCTTTTCAACAGAATGCATTGCGACAAAATGATGTCCGCAGAGACTCATCATCTGAAACGTGTTCAACGGGAAGCGCAGAGAACAATCCCTCTACATCCATGCACGCTGCCTCTGGTAAGTGCTCCCAGGTCTAACAGCGCAGGTTAGAGACACGGTAACGCTCCCTCTACACTGTGCGTTCACACTCCCAGGTCAGGGTTAGAGACACAGTAACGCTCCCTCTCCACTCCCAGGTCAGGGTTAGAGACACGGTAACGCTCCCTCTACACTGTGTGTCCACACTCCCAGGTCAGGGTTAGAGACACAGTAAAGCTCCTCTACACTGTGTGTCCACACTCCCAGGTCAGGGTTAGAGACACAGTAAAGCTCCTCTACACTGTGTGTCCACACTCCCAGGTCAGGGTTAGAGACACAGTAAAGCTCCTCTACACTGTGTGTCCACACTCCCAGGTCAGGGTTAGAGACACAGTAAAGCTCCTCTACACTGTGCGTCCGTCCACACTCCCCAGGTCAGGGTTAGAGACACAGTAAAGCTCCTCTACACTGTGTCCACACTCCCAGGTCAGGGTTAGAGACACAGTGACGATGTGAAGTGAAGCTACTCTTTATCCTGGTTGCCAAGTGATGTCCTGGCTCCATGGGCACAGACCTGGTGCCTTGTTTCCCTGCTCACCACCTCACCTGCTTCTAGATCTGCGGAGCTTCAGGTCTGGTGATGGGCCGAGGAGGCTGACAAGGGACGTCAACACCACATACAAGCTTCTCCAGAGCACCGTGCCTGAGCCGGAAGACAGTTCCAGCCACGACCCAGTTCGGTTCTTATTCGATATCACTGTCCTGGGACAGACTTCTGTGTCTGACAGTTTCCCGAGCCAGTCGTGTGGCTCCGTGTCTGCCCTCGCGGCCTGTGACCAGACGTCTGCGTCAGACAGCGTCTTTGGCTATTTGGCTGTTTCCTCTGGGCACAAAGGGGGGGAGGAGGAAGAGGAGGAGGCCGAGGCTCTGACGAGCGCTGGCACACGTAGCCCGCCGCTCAGCGGGGACGGCGATCGGAGCAGCAGCCGTTCAGGTGAGAGGAGGTGGTGGGGAGCACCTGTGTGGGTGCGACCGTCACCGGGGTAAGGAAACAGTGGTTAATGGTGACGGGTAAGGCACTGGTTGTGATGCTTTGCAATTCACCTCCTCCATCCTCTCTGTCTGAATCCTTCTTGATGCACTTTGGTCATGGCACATCCCGATAGCCCTGTGTGCGCGTGTGTGTGTACGCTCGCGCGCGTGCGCGCGTGTGTGTGTGTACGTGTGCCTCTCGCCCTCACTCCCCGCTTCTCTGTTGCTTTGTTACAGAGGGCTCCATTCCCTGCAGTGGCGGGGTGCATCCAATGCAGGATGATTGCATGTGACGGGCGTGACGTGGTGGCTGAACAGCCTTCACTGACAGGTAAGGCTCCAAGTCTCCTCTTGGTGGGGGAGGGGGTGGGAGAGGGAGTAGTGGGGGCTGGGGGAACCCCTCCAACGGGGAGTTTATCCGCTGGGCCATCGCAGTCAGAAGGTGTGGGTTCAAGCTGCACGGCGTAAGCCAGCGCTCCAGTGCAGCGGCGGGGGGAACAGTGCATTGTCGGAGACGTGAGATGTTAAACCGAGGCCTTTTCTGTGCCCGTTCGGGCGGACGTTAAAGATCTCCCGCAGCGCTATTGGAAAAGAGAAGCCCGTTTCTCTCTCTCTCTCCCCCCCCCCACCGGTGTCCTGGCCAACAATCCCGCCGGTTAAAAACCAGCCGCTCACTCCACGGCCGCTTGAGGGACGTCGCCCTGCGCAAGTCGGCCGCCGCCGCGCCTTGCCCACAAAACACACAGTCGCCGCACGTAACAGTATGCCCTGGGAAGCGCTTGGAGACGCCTCGACGAAGTGAAGTGATGAGGCGCGACATCAAACGCAAGCGTGTTCAGCTTCGCTGTGATTCTCGAAACGCGTGGCCGACGATTAATCATTACTCTCCGTGTTGCAGGCAGCCAGCCCAAGGGTTCAACTCTCCACGGAAAGTGGCTTGAATGTAAATTTTGCATCAACGGAAGGAACGGTGTTAAGCGTTCGTTTATTTTTTTTTCTCTTCTTCTTGCAATTAAAAGCCTTCGATTCGGATTTTTGGCCTCGGGCGCGCGGAGGAAGGGGGGAGGGGGAGGGGAGGCGGGGGTGGGTCTGGGTCTGGGTCTGGGTCTGGGCCTGGGCCTGGGCCAGGCGGATCCTTCTCTTGTCGGGCGGCAGGACAGGAGGGTCATTGCCTCGCGTAAGCGCAGCCGTAACAGGCGCCACGTGCAAACGAGGACGCCTGTTGGGCCGCGCGTACAGCATATATGCGAACCCGGGTGCACGGAGAGACTTGTGCCTCCTGATGCGGGTGCCCCTCATCACACAAGGCCCACTCGCACACCCTGAGCTAGGAGACCTCTTACAGAACCAACAGCTTTGCCCCCAATCCCCTCGCCCCCCCCCCCACCACCACCATCCCCAATGCTGGATGTGTTTTTGGAAAAGTTATATAAAAAAAAACTAAACTGCCGGAGAGGCACAGCCATCGAACTGTCCTTCAGAGAGAGGGAGAGGGGGGGAGGGAGCGAGACGGAGAGGGGTGGGGTGGTGTTTGGTGGGGGGGGGGGCGCAGCGAGAGAGAGCATTGAGCAACCCTCTACCCTATTTTCCAGCCACCGACCAACCCATTTGAGCCACAAAGAGCACATGGTTTACCCTATGATGGACACAAGTGTCAGCGGGTTGAAGAATGGTTGGAGGGGGGGGGGGGGGGGTGTCAAAAACGGAAACAATTCTCTCTTAACACCCCCCACCCCCCCAAAAAAAAATTATACCCTCCTCTCTCCCCACCTCTTGTGTCGGCGACAGCGATTTTAACTGTGCAATAAAATCCTAACTGGCAGTGAACTGAGGCCTCCGCTCTTTGGTGTCTTCCTCTGCGACAATAATCCTTCTGCGTTCGACGCAGCGCCTCATCCCGTCTTCGAGACGTCTCAAAGCGCTTGACGGTAAAGTGTAGTGACCGGGTGTCGCGCCCAGCGACCTCCCCGCAAACAGCCGCGGGGATTGAGTGACCGTGTCGTTACGTTTGATGAAAAGAGATTATCACCCCCGGAGGAAAGTCCGCCAGTCGACTTAACGACCGGGTCCCCGACTCAAAGCAGGCGTGCGCCCGCGCCCCCCGCGCCCCCCGCGCCCCCCGCGCCCGCGCGCGGAGCAAGGAAACCTGCCCCAACGTTTCGCCGTGCCCTGCCCCGGGGGGGGAGGCGAGCGCTCTTTCAACGACGGAGCTACTGACCGGGACTTCTGTTTGGGGGCAAAATGGAGGGCGGCGGAGCGGGTGTGGGGGGTGAGACCACTCACCAGAAACAAGTGACTGCGTTCGGCTGTAAAAACTACGACAATATCAATGCAGAATTGCTGCCAAAAAAAAGCCGATGACAAAAGGGGGCGTCAGTTTTTGTGCGCAGGCGCTGGCCGGGCAGCCCCCCCCCCGCGCCGCGTCACACCACGGCCGGCGTCCTGCCGTTGCCGGGGCGACGGGGTCCTTCCTGGCGGGGAGTCGCGGGCGGGCCGGCAGGGAAAATGGCGGCGTCCTTCAGAGGCCTCGTCCCCGGTCTCCGGGCGCTGAGCCGCGGGTTCAGCGCCAACTCCAGGCTGGTGAGTGAGGCCTCGAACGTCACTTGGAGGGACCCTTTTTACTGGGGGAACGTTCCCGTTTCTTGTGGGTTTATAAACGTTCCGTTAATTGCACAAACGTTTCCGTTTGTTTGGACAACACAAAACGTGCACTGATGCAGCGCCAACAACAAGAACAACAACAAACAACAACAACAACAAGATTCGATTTACAGAGCGCCTTTCACGTCGGGAGGACGTCCCAAAGCGCTGGACCTGAGCAGTGGGGGGGAATGGTCAGGGGAGGGGAGGGGAGGGGAGGGGGCGAGGAGGGGGGAGATGGTCAGGGTGAGGGGAGGGGAGGGAGGGGGTGAGGAGGGGGGAGATGGTCAGGGTGAGGGGAGGGAAGGGAGGGAGCGAGGAGGGGGAGATGGTCAGGGTGAGGGGAGGGAGGGAGGGAGCGAGGAGGGGGGAGATGGTCAGGGTGAGGGGAGGGGAGGGAGGGGGTGAGGAGGGGGGAAATGGTCAGGGTGAGGGGAGGGGAGGGAGGGAGCGAGGAGGGGTAGAGAGTCGAGAGCGGAGCTGAAGGCTGAAGGTCAAAGAGAAAGGCCTTGAGACACGGCCCTGAAGGAGGAAAGGGAGGAAGCGGCGAAGGCACTGGGGATGGAGTTCCAGAGCCTCGGGGCTGAGAGGCTGAAGGCCACCGATGGTCGGGCGGTTGGGGCGGGGGGTGCGGAGCAGACCGGAGCCCGAGGAACGGAGGGTACGGGGGGGTACGTGGGAGGATAGTAGGTCGGAGAGGGAGGAGGGAGCGAGGCCGTGAATGGCCTCGTAGGTGAGGATGAGGATCTTGAATTCGAGGCCGAGTAGCGCCTCAGAGCGCTTTACAATGGCGGAGCCTGACTCCCAGCTGGTGGGGGGAAGATGCCCCCGTAAGCACGGCCGAAGAGGAAGGTTCGTGACTGTTTGCGGGGACGTCGCTGTGCGCAAATCGGCTGCTGCGTTTCGCCCGCAAAAAGCACAGTCACTACACCTCACAGTGTAACCCTGCATATAGTGGCTCTGAGACCTGACGTGAAAGGCACCCGTACCAAATGCCAGGGTTATAATCGTCTCAAAGCGCTTCACAGGCTTACACTGTAAAGCGTAGCGACTGTGTGTCTTGTGGGCAAAACGCAGCAGCCGTGGATTGAGTGACCAATTGATGATTTTTTTTTGAAGGGATTATTACACCCCCCCTCCCCCCCCACCCAGGAAAGCAATCGGCCAATCGCTTAACAAGCGGGTTCCTCCTGACTGCTGGTAAACAGAGGCGTGTGGGGTAAGGAAACCTGCCCAACGTTTCGCCCTGCCCCGTCCTGTCCCGCCTGGGAATCGAACCCGGGTCTCTCGCTTGCGAGGCGAGCGCTCTAACCACTGAGCTACAGGACTCCACTTACCCATTCTCCAGTGTAGATCGTACTGGCGTTGTCGTTTCTGTGGACTGGCATGTCTGAGGCGTGTTTGTGCTCGCAGAACACGGTGATTGTGGAGCGCTGGTGGAAGGTGCCACTGCCGAAGGAAGGCCAACCCGCTCGGCTACACCCGCGCAGACACCGCATCTATAAGCTGGTGGAGGACACAAAGCATCAGACCAAGGAGCCGTTGGAACTAATCCTCACCCAGAACGTGAACAGTATGTGTTCCCTTTGAGACTACATTTTGTACTGTATTGTACGTTTGATACAGCTTCATTGCTCCCAGCATTTCAACCAGCTAAAGGGGGACGCAATAAAATGCCCCCCCTTACCCACGGACGCTGGAAAGGCCTGGGCTGCGTGCATGCACGCAGGGCCTCTCAAGTTTAATGCGGGACGTATAAACCAGCAACAACACTTGACACTTACACAGCGCCTTTCACGTCGGGAGGACGTCCCAAGGCGCTGGACAGTCAGGGATCTGCACCCGAGCTGGTGGTTGGGATATAATAATAATAATAATCCTTCCATTTGATACAGCACCTTATCATATCTCCTGGACGACTCAAAGCGCTTCACAGAATACACTGCGAAGTGACCCGACTGTACATTTGTGGGCGAAAGGCAGCAGCCAGTTGCGCACAGCAGCGTCCCACAAACAGTCGTGGATTGAAGTGACCAATTTATTATTCTTTCCTGCAGGGATTATTATCAGGCGTGTGGTGTGAGGAAACTTGCCCAAGGTTTCACCCTGCCGGGAATCGAACTCGGATCCTCTCGCTTGCGAGGCGAGTGCTCTAACCACTGAGCTGCAGGACTCCACGCTCAGGAGCGGTGGCGGGCGGGGAGGGTAGGGGTAGGAGGGTGACCGAAGGCATGGTCGAAAAGGAGGGTCTTGGAAAGAGGCAAGGCAAGGGGGCAGTGGGTGTGGGGGAGTGAGCCATGGCCTGACCTCTGATTGATTTGGGAGGTGTTGTATCTTCTCCTGTTGCAGGGCTGGGAAGTCGCGGTGATGTTGTGTTCGTGAAGAGATCATTGGGTCGGAATAAGCTCCTTCCCCAGGGCCTTGCCGTCTACGCTTCCCCAGAGAACAAGCTCCTCTTTGAGGACGAGCGTAAGGTCTGTCTCTCTCACTCTCTGTCTCTATGTCTCTCCTCCCTCTCTCTCTCTGTTTGTATGATGGCTGGAGGGTCTGCCATGCGGTATGTGGTGTGATAGTTAGCTCCTGCCCCCAAAACGGTGTCCCAACGAGACAGAATGTGGCCCAATCATGAGGGGAGGAGGGTTAATTTACCTGTAATATTTTTTGGGGGGTGTCTGACACACGCGGAAACCCATCACCATGCTTAAAGAGTCTCCAAACCAAGCCTAGATTTCCATTCATCCCACCAACACATAACAATAACCCTCGCGTTTGCTACAGCGCCTTCGAGACGTCTCAAAGCGCTTCACAGGATACACTATAAAGTGTAGTGATTATGTGTTTTCTGGGCGAAATGCGGCAGCCAATCCCAGAAACAGTCATGGATTAAGTGACCAATTTATTATTATTATTTCTGAAGGAATTATTACCCCCGGAAAAGCCAATCGACTAACTACTGGGTTCCTACTTACTGCTGGTAAACAGTGGCGTGTGGAGTAAGGAAACCTGCCCAACTTTTCGCCCGAATCCGGGTCCTCTCGCTTGCGAGGCAAGTGCTCGAACCACTGAGCTACGGGACTCCACGTGTAAATCCCAGAGATAGATTGCTGGAATGGAATCCTCCATCTCTCTGGAGAGCCAAGGCTTGTGGGACGCCCAGAGTGCGCGTTGGGGTAACTGCTGGAGTCTAACCAGCTAACCCCACGTAGCTTGTCATTGAGAGCGCTGTCTGGCTTGCAGGGTTAACAGGAGCTGAGTGGGAGGATTCCCTGCCCCAAGTGACTGGTCTGCCTGTAACCTCTATCTGTTGTGTTCTGCAGTGTTTCCAAGAGGGAGCTCCAGAGGATAGGATCCAGACCCACAGTGGAGAGGAGGTGAGACCTTCAGTATGTGGAATATGGGGACAGAGGGGACAGAGCCTTACAGTTCAATCCTGAGGGGTTGGAAGGGAGATCGGGAGATGTTACTAACCGAGGGCTGGGAGAGTGAGGCCCAGAGGTGGAATCGATCGGGTGTGAGAGGGAGATGGTTAGAGACTTGGGGGAGTCAGGTGATGGATTAACCAGTGATCTCTTGTGTCCCTCTTGACGATGGTCAGGTTGTGGAGTTCCTGAGGAAATCGCACCTGACAGTCCGGATGAAGAACAATGTGAAATGGGAGCTGACCCCAGAAATCATCTCTCGCCACTTCCAGATCGAGGTCAGTGATTATATTCATAATTATTATTGATAATCCTCGCATTGGATACAGAGGAACTGGGTTTCATGGCATCTCTGACAATGCGGTGTTCTCTCTCGCTCTCTCCTTCGAGCGTCAGCCTGGACTGTGAGCTCAGAGACCCCGACGTGTGTGTGTGGGTGGAGGGAGGGGTGGGGGCTCAAACCCACAACCTCCTGACTCGGAGGCGAGAGAGAAAGAGAGAGAGAGAGAACGACTGAGCCACGGGCTGAATAGGGGTGTGGGGTATAAACCCTGGCACCAACCGGTTGGGCGAAATGGCCTAGGGTGCTTCTGTGCTGTAGTGCTTTGTGTCACTTCAATGCCTTTCTTCCCCCCGCCCCACAGCTTGGTGTATTTGTGCCCCCCCAAGCCGTGACTCTGCCAGACCAGCCCATCACCACCTGGTGCGAGAGCTGGTGTGACGTCACAGTGAGTATCGCACCCATTTCCGTTCCCAGATTCTCTGCTGCGCGACCCCATCATCCCCCATCGTCCTCGCCCGGCTCCACTGGCTCCCCACCCCCCCCCCCCCCGAGGGTACAGTTCAAGATCCTCGCCTTCAAAGCCCTCCCGCCCACCGCCTCGCTCCCCCACCCTACCTCTGTGACCTCCTACCAACCTGCCCGCTCCCTCCGCTCAGCGGGCTCCGGCCTGAATTCACGTCCCCCTCCCAGCCCAGCTCCCTTCCCACAGTCCCTCCGCTTCGCCCTCCTCACCATTGGCGGGTGGGCCTTCAGCCTCTCTGCCCCGCCCCACCCCACCCCCCTCTGGAACTGCATCCCACAGTCCCCCCGCCTCCCTCGCTCCCTCCCCGGCCTCCTTCAAGACCTGTCTCAAGACCCTCCTCTTCGACCGCGTCTTCGGTCACCCTCCCCTCCACCCCCTTCTGATCCCAAACCCCAGCTCGGGTCCAAACCCCTGACTGTCCAGGGCCTTGGGACATCCTCCCGACGTAAAAGGCGCCGTGTAAACGTCACGTGTTGTTGTTGTTGTTGTTGTTGCTCCTGACCGTCCCTTCCCCGGGTTCCTGACGCCTGGTTTTCCGTCTCACGCAGGTGAACGGGATTGAAACCGTGCGGGTCCCGATGTCAGTGACGAACTTTGAGAGGTTGAAACTGCGGAGATATAAGCAATGGCTGCTGAGGCAAGGAGGGGCGTCAGCCCTCGGGGGAGGGGATGGGGCACACCCTGAGTCCTGAACCCCCCCACGCCACTCTGTTCCCTCCCCTGGGGACTGGGGAGGGGGAGCACCGAGTCTAAAAGTGGGAACAAGTCTGTTGGGGGTAAAGGGTTGGACCTCAAACGTGACTCTGGATGTGCGAGATAACAAGGGGAGCAAAGTGACATTCATTGATTGATTCTCTTTCCCCCCCACCACCACCGTGTGCATACCCCACCCCCCATTTGCGTGTGAGAATAAAGCTGATGTATCACTGATTTACCGGCTGTGGTGAGTGACTGATCTAGAAGGGCAGTCTCCGTTCTGAGCTCAGCCCCTCAGGCATCCGTGTGTGTGTGTGTGTGTGGTGGGGAATTAATAATAATCCTTGCATTTGATACAGCGCCTGATCATATCTTCGAGACGTCTCAAAACTCTTCGCGTAATATACTGTAAAGTATAGTGACTGTGGGTGAAACTCGGCAGCGGTAACGTCCCACAAACAGCCACAGAAAGTGAGCGACCGATTTATATCTGAGGGAATTGTCGACCAGGATACCGGGAGAGAGAGAGAGAGAGAGACTCCCTTCTCTTTTCGATTAGCGCCACGGGAGTTCTTTAACGTCCACCTGAACAGGGCACAGACGGGGAGAGAGAGAGTGAGTTTTGACGTCTGATCCGGAGGAAAGCCTCTCCCAACTTTGCAACCGCCTCTCCCCACCCACCTCCCCAGTCAGGTGAGCAGTCCAGTCAGTGGGAGGTTTTTAAAATGGATGAAAGACAGGACACTGTGTGCAGATTTTTATTTTCAGCTTTATTCTGTCAGAGTCGCGAAGAGATCAGAGAAGTGCGTTAAGCAGCCAAGAAGTTCCGAGGAGGGGTAAGCCAGGACGGAGGGAGTTGGGGGTCTGATGGAGGTGGAGAGGTGAGGTGGAGGAGGGTGGGCGTGAGGTGGAGCGGGCGTGAGGTGGAGCGGGCGTGAGGTGGAGCGGGCGGGCGTGAGGTGGAGGGGGAGAGTTCCTGGGGGGGGGGCCCCCTCCCCTCGTCTCAGTAGCTGCCCAGAACCACACCGAGCATCACAGACAGGCTGACGGAGGCCACGCTCCAGCGGTGGTTCGAGCCTGGAAGACGAGGACGAAAGAGAGAGAACGGTTAGTGTTGCCCTCTGACTTGGTGTCTGGGTGAGGGGCTAATAATAACAACAACAACAACAACAACCCCTGCATTTGACCCGGCGCCTGATCACGTCGTCGAGACGTCTCGAAGCGCTTCACGGGACACGCCGTAGAGTGCGGTGACCGTGTGTGTTTTGCGGGCGAAACCCGGCAGCCGATCGCGCCCGGCGACGTCCCCCCCCCCCCCACAAACAGCCGTGGGTTGAAGTGACCGAATCAGTGTTCTTTCTCTTTTTTTTTTTGAAGGGGTTACAAGCCCCGGAAAAGCAATCGGCCAATCGACTAACAAGCGGGTTTCTGCTGACAAACAGAGGCGCGCGCGCGCGTGCGGAGTCAGGAAACTCGCCTAATGCCTGGGAATCGAACCCGGGTCGTCCTCTCGCTTGCGAGGCGAGCAAACTGTCCCCTGAGCTACCGCAGGATGGGGTAGAAGTGGGGTTGACCGACCTGCATCCACAAACAGAGGCACGGTGACCTGTTTGACGGGCAAGCCCTGGGACTCTTCTAGCGCCTCCTTCTGTCGGTCGCTGGCTACCGCGAGCTGTTCCTCGGTGACCGAGGCAGCGCTGACTGGGTCCAGGGCTTTGAGCTGAGCAGGAGACAGCACCTACGGGCACACAACAGCGACAACAACCCTTGAGTTTGGCGCAGCGCCTGATCGCGTCTTCCAGGCGTCTCAAAGCGCTTCACGGGATACACCAAAGGCCGTCCAACTTGCGGAGGAAACGGGGCAGGCAGTCGCCTGGTTTTGCTTCAGGTTTCCAGCATCTGCAGTATTTTGTGTTTGGAACCAATTGATTCTTTTTCGGATACTTCCCCCAAGACCTTCCTCTTCGACCGTGTCTTCGGCCAACCCCACTCCACCCTCCTGACCCCCAGCTCGGGTCCAAACCCCACCCCCCCACCCCACCCCACCCCAACTGTCCAGCGCCCTGGGACTTCCTCTCTCGAAGGGAAGGGCGAGCGATGGGCGTGGGTTGTTGTCGGAAGTCTCGGTAATTGGCTGATTTTTCTCGGCAGTATGTCAGCTGGAGTCCTGGGAAAGGCCGCGTGTCCCCCGCAAATCCTGGAAGCGCTGAAGGTAAAGGCGGTGAGCGAGTACGGCAAGATGGCGGGTTGGTCACCCGCATGTCTCCTCGAGCAAGGCACCGTGGTCGGTAAGAGCTCGGCTTGGTTTGGTTTGGTTTGGCGTCTCCGTGTCAACTGTCAGCCATTGGCTCTCCACCTTTCCCCCCCCCCCTCCATCTCACCCCCCAACTCTGCCCTCCATCTCACCCCCCAACTCTGCCCTCCATCTCACCCCCCAACTCTGCCCTCCATCACCTCCCCCACCCATAACTCTGCCCTCCATCACCCCCCCCACCCATAACTCTGCCCTCCATCTCACCCCCCAGCCATAACTCTGCCCTCCATCTCTCCCCCCAATTCTGCCCTCCATCTCACCCCCCAACTCTGCCCTCCATCTCACCCCCCCACCCCAACTCTGCCCTCCATCACCCCCCCCACCCACAACTCTGCCCTCCATCACCCCCCCCACCCCCAACTCTGCCCTCCATCACCCCCCCACCCCCAACTCTGCCCTCCATCACCCCCCCACCCCCAACTCTGCCCTCCATCACCCCCCCCACCATAACTCTGCCCTCCATCACCCCCCCCACCCATAACTCTGCCCTCCATCACCCCCCCCACCCATAACTCTGCCCTCCATCTCACCCCCCAACTCTGCCCTCCATCTCACCCCCCAACTCTGCCCTCCATCTCACCCCCAACTCTGCCTCCATCACCCCCCCCACCCCCAACTCTGCCCTCCATCACCCCCCACCCCCAACTCTGCCCTCCATCACCCCCCCACCCATAACTCTGCCCTCCATCACCCCCCCCACCCATAACTCTGCCCTCATCACCCCCCCACCCATAACTCTGCCCTCCATCTCACCCCCCAACTCTGCCCTCCATCTCACCCCCCAACTCTGCCCTCCATCTCACCCCCCAACTCTGCCCTCCATCTCACCCCCCAACTCTGCCCTCCATCTCACCCCCACCCACAACTCTGCCCTCCATCACCCCCCCCCCCCAACTCTGCCCTCCATCACCCCCCCACCCCCAACTCTGCCCTCCATCACCCCCCCAGCCATAACTCTGCCCTCCATCACCCCCCCCAGCCATAACTCTGCCCTCCATCTCTCCCCCCAACTCTGCCCTCCATCTCACCCCCCCACCCATAACTCTGCCCTCCATCACCCCCCACCCATAACTCTGCCCTCCATCTCACCCCCCAACTCTGCCCTCCATCTCACCCCCCAACTCTGCCCTCCATCTCACCCCCCCACCCACAACTCTGCCCTCCATCACCCCCCCCCCCAACTCTGCCCTCCATCACCCCCCCACCCATAACTCTGCCCTCCATCACCCCCCCACCCATAACTCTGCCCTCCATCTCACCCCCCAACTCTGCCCTCCATCTCACCCCCCCACCCACAACTCTGCCTACATCACCCCCCCCACCCCCAACTCTGCCCTCCATCACCCCCCCCCCCACCCATAACTCTGCCCTCCATCTCACCCCCCACCCCACAACTCTGGCCTCCATCTCACCCCCCCCCCCCCCCCCCGCCACAACTCTGCCCTCCAACTGACCCCCCCCCCCCAACTCTGCCATGTTTGGGGGAGGGAAGGAAATCAACCTGGGCTCCCCCATGGCTCGCCACCCAGAACCCACCCTGGAATTGTTGCGCAGAGATCATGTGAATCCTCTACTGTACTAACTTCTCCCCCCCTTTGTCTCTCTCTGTGTGTGTGCCCGTCTCTGTGTGTGTGCCCGTCTCTGTGTGTGTGCCCGTGTCTGTGTGTGCCTGTGTGTGTGTGTGCCCGTGTCTCTCTCTCTCTGTGTGTGTGTGTGTGTGTGTGCCCGTGCTGTGTGTGTGCCCGTGTCTCTGTGTGTGTGTGTCCATGTCTCTGTGTGTGTGTGTGTGTGTGTGTGCCCGTGTCTCTGTGTGTGTGTCCGTGTGTCTCTCTGTGTGTGTGTGTGTGTGTGTGCCCGTGTCTCTGTGTCCGTGTGTCTCTCTCTGTGTGTGTGTGTGTGTGTGCCCGTGTCTCTGCGTCCGTGTGTCTCTCTCTGTGTGTGTGTGTCCGTGTCTCTGTGTGTGTGTGTGTGTGCCCGTGTCTGTGTGTGTGTGTGTGTGTGTGTGTGTGTGCCCGTGTCTCTCTGTGTGTGTGTGTGTGTGTGTGTGCCCGTGTCTCTCTCTCTGTGTGACAGCTGGAGCAAGTGCTGAAGAGCTGAAGAGCCTGGACCCCAGTGTGATGCAGTACCTGACTCAGGCAGCTGTCGCTCTCATCCCCTCTGAGAGATTCAAAGTCAGTACACATCACACACACACACACACACACACACCTCACAGGTCCCTCCGCCTCCGCCTCCGCCTCCCCTAAACACAGCCTGGGGCTCAGTCTCTCAGTCTGGCCTCTGAGCCTGAGGGTTCAAGACACAGATACATAGATATTTGTTAGGTCGGGGTACAGGTGCTCAGTGGTTAGAGCACTTGCCTTGCAAGCGAGAGGACCTGGGTATGATTCCCGGGCGGCGACAGAGTGCGCGGAGTAAGGAAACTTTAAGCGAGTTTCCTCACTCCACGCACGCACGCACACGTGCCTCCGGATCGCTTTTCCTTCGGTGGGAGGGGGG